TTCTCTATAAGACTACATCGCATATTTTTCTTTTCTCTGACTCTTTGCTGATAGATTCCAGCCCTCTGCAGAGCAAAGCAAGCAGAAGGGTCTGTACAGGGACTGATGTCTGTTTGTGGATGCTAGCACCCCTCCAGCCTTCTAGCACATGTCTGATCCTTGCAAAATGCTGTTGGAGGTCTCTATAAGCTCATCAGGGATCTGCCAAGGTCACAGTGCTGGTCTTGTTGGAGCTCACAAGGAGGCCTGGCCGCCTTAGGGGCTCTGCCCTTGTAAATGATGTGTACTTTCTGGGGTTCTATCTGTGCTGCACATGTAGGGCAGCACTGCATATGCATTACAAATCTCTTACAAGGCGCTGCGGAAGGAAAAAAAAAGAGTTAACTCGTGTGGGGCTGCAAGAACCTTGGCTCCCCTGTTCCTGGCCTCCAGCCAGCTTGTTTGGAGCACTGCTACGTGCTAATGGATGGCAGACAGGATAGTTTGTTATCCTTCCTGCAGGTATGCAGGAATACACATTTGTTGGATTTTTATCCATTTTCTAAATCAAGTGCAACTGCTTTCTATCATATCGTACCATGAACACCTAAAACCTGCCTACGTATTGATAGCTTAGGTTAGGCCAAGAAGGCTAAAGTGAGGAAAACTGTGGGAAGAACCTTGTGTTTTGCAATGTAAGAATGAAGTTAGGCAGGCTGAATGCATGCATCACTGCTGCCTCCTCTGTGGGTGTCTTGATGAGGCAGTTTCAATCCGTCTACCAGATGCGTGGTTTATTTATTATTACCCTGACTTCCAAACATCGCTTGCTTTGAGCATCTGAAGACAAAGGCAGCTAATTAACAAATGAAATCAGCAAGCTGTGCAGTCCCAGCAGCCGGAAAAACACGATATAGCAAACGCAGACCGTGGTCCCGCTTTCACAGTGCCCACATGAAACTCCCTGGAGCTCAGCTGAGGGCTGCAGCACGCCGTCCGTGTTCCCTGCCCACAGCCAGTGGGCTCTCCAGTGCTTTGCCATTCAGCATACAGAGGATTTTCATTATCTGCCATTCTTCTGTACACCTCCCACACCGACATCCCCAACCACAGCACTGCAATTCCCGACCTGTTTAGATCAGACCCATTTGGAACTGTTCATGCTGGGATTGCTTGAGAACGCTGGGATGTATGAAGGGAATTTTTCCAATGCGGTGTTGAACATGCCTGTGCCATCTGGGCTTCACAAAGTGTTTGGTTCAATTCAAAGATTAAAGACTGAAAAATTGAACCTAATGATGGCATAAACCTCTGTGGAAAACATACTTCTGTAATTATTTTCGTTTTAATTATAGACTTCAACTACATAGCAACACTCACGACTTCATTTTAATACGGAGACTGATTATTCTGTTAGTTCTTCATAATTTGATCAACCTGGAAATGAAACTTTTAGAATTTCTTTTTTTTTTTTTTTTCCTCATCAGGCACGTCAGAAATGCATCTTGTCGAGATGGTTAATGGTGTGCAATAGCAGAAGTCAATGGCTTCCTCCCAGGGCTGAGAGGCTGGGAGCCTTGGCCGTTCACATGCTGCTGTGGAAGAACAGTCACCCACAGATACTTAAACATATGCACCAAGTTTTAAATGTCCTTTTTTTTTTTTTTTTTGTCTTTTCTTTTTGGTCTATTTTAAAGTTTAAATATCAGTGATGATTCAATTAAGCATCAAAACTGGAGTTCAGGAGATGTCTGATAAGTGGGCATCAGTGCCATACTGATAGGTGGCTTTAAAATAGCCCAGAGGTTATCAATTTGGCACTGGCCTGCCTCCACTGTAATAGCTCTGCAGAATACCTTGGCAGTATTATAAGAAATGTATTTTGTATTATGTCTGCAGCTCTCACACTGTCTGAGCAAAATGCAGTCTTATATAACAAGGCAGCAAAATGAAACATTTGTCTAACCCTGCACAGCAGCAGGGCAGGCAGTTGTTTGGTGAAATCTGACAACAATTGCAAGCATTATTTTGTCTCCTATTAGTGCTTCTTCTTTTGCTGTGATGCAGGTGTTGAGATCTTCCCAACTGCTGATGGAAAAATCAGCAGTGCCAATTTTGTATTCATTAACCATTACAAAATGCTTTGGCAGAAGCTTTGCTGCGTTTCTGTTCCCAACTTAGATTTCTTTGAGGTTTCTTTAACTCTTATCAGAATCCATCCCACATCAGGGCTATGTGGACAGAGGGCACGTGCTTCTCTCTGTTGCAGAGAAGAGCTGGTTGTTGCTGGGGTTAGAGCACACAGACCCACTGCTAGAGGGCAGGCAGCACGAGCAAGGGATGGCATCACTCTTAGTATCACAGAGTAAAGCTAATCCAACCAAGTGTTCTAATCACAGCACGTCAAGCTTTGAACAAGGACAGGTATCCCACAGTCTCTCTAGGACCCTGGCCAGGCACTAGTCTGATCTCATGAGGAATTTCTCACCTTCAGCCAGGAATAATTTCTCTGGGTGCTGCAAATACCTGTTGGTTCATGATTTTTTCCCTCTGTAATGCTAGGAAGAGTTGACCTTTATCTTCTCTACAGAAGACTGTAGTCAGTCAGAGAAAGATGTTGGGTCACTCTTCCACACTTTCTCCCCCAGGCTGGCCAAATGAGCCCCTCCAGTCCCCACCTGTATGTATGTCCCCTGCTTCAGCCCTCTGTTTCTTGGTGCCTTCTGTGCTCACTCCAGCACACCCATGCCTTCCTCTTTGAGGAATGGAGACAGTGCTGGCATGGAGCTCAGGATGTCTCAGAGGTGTGGATGGAGGGGAGATCCTGTATGTGCCCTGTATGTGCTGCACTCCTGCTGCTGCAGGCTGGGATGTGACCAGCCTTCATAGATGTAGAGTTGAGCATTCAGCTTTTCCACCAAGACTTCCAGGCCTCTCATGCAAGCAGTTCCATGTCCAGCCAGCCTCATCCTGCCACGGCTTGGACATTACGCCCATAGGCTTCACATTTATTGTTGATCTTTAAGGTCCCTTCCAACCTCAGCACTTCTGTGATTCATCTCTAGCCCCATGTTCAGGCTTTAAGCCATGCAGTGTGTGTAGGCCTGAGCAACTTCCTCAGAATGACTTTTTAGTCTGGATCATGTCCCAGGGCTTGGATCTCTGCAGGTGTATGGGCTACAAACTGAAGCAGTCTAATTTTCTTCCTTTTATTTCCTATTGCGTGAGTAGAAGATGGCGTTTCTGCAATCCCATCCCTTTTCAAGTGCTGCTGTGATTTAAAATAACCTTTAAAACAAAAATGAGATCTCATTAGAAAATGCCATCCTAATCTGGAACAACAGATTCACAATTTGTTTCTGTGATATTCACAAAAATGTTTTGTAGAGTAGGGAGAAGATAACATTTACTTAAAATTCATACACCATTGCAAAGTATTATTGCTTGAATTATTCCAAATTTTGGAACATGTTTTGTTTATAATTGATCGAGACATTCAAGCTTTTTTCTTGTTGCACAAATGCAAGTATAAGCTTCTACAGAATAAGTGCAGTCTGTTTTTCAGTATGGTGATCTATCAGATTGTTAATGATGGGCTTCACTTATTAATCTTTTGTTTCTCTAAATTTCTACACTAACACAAATGGAAATGTTTTAAGAACTGCTATGCTGAGGTCCATCCATCTTGCAGAGTCCTGTGCGGTGGCATCCAGCTGGCACCTGGGGGAGCAAAATGCAAGTGATGCTTCCACCAAAGCACCCAACCCAGTGCTGAAGACTGGACGTGGCTCTGAACAGCCTGGTCTGCTGGTTGGCGACCCTGCACTCAGCAGAGAGGTTGAAACTAGATGAGCATTGAGGTCCTTTTCAACCCAGGCCATATGATTCTAGGAAGAGGAACGGAGGTGTGGGTGCCTTTGGACACAGCACCATTCCCTTTGGCACTGCTGGCTGGGATGAGGTTTGAGCTCAGGGTTATGTGTGTTGCTGATTCATGGCCTGGGGTGTGATGCATTCTATTTGGATAGGCACTGATGTGTAGTAAGCCTTTGCGATGATATGGTTGTGTTTCTGGGTAAATAATTAAGCACTACCTGACATGTTATTTATATTTTATTTTAAGAAGAAAAAAAAAAAGCACTGCTAACAACATTCTGCAGTTATTCCAGGCAAAGCTGAGATGCACATGGAAACGTGCCATATTTGTGTGCAGACAAACAGGATCAGTGTGGGTCTAATGGGGCCAATTGCTCCCACACCCTGTGGTGTATGTGCTGTAACGACTGGGCAGCAACCCACGTTGGCTGCCAGCTTGTTGGGCAGCAAAGTTCTTCCCTAAAGCTCAGTGCAGAACTGCTGACCGCGTTGCTTGGAGGTTGAGTGCTTTTATCTGGGAATGAGTAGCAGCAGCCGTTGCTGTCCTTGCTGGTAATGAACTATAGCAAACCCCCACAGACAGGGGTCTACTTGTTCCTGGTGGAATAAAGCCCACATGTAATTCATTAGGTGTATTTACATTCCAATGGCTATCTCTATTTCTTCTGAATTTAAAATGAACAAACTCTGTTCTGGGGAATTAATTTTCTCTGCCATGATGTGGTGGGAGTAATTATATGATATCTGTATTTTAATCAAGAGAAGTGTGTTGTAAAGCCTGAATGAATTTACCTGCTTGAAGTTTAATGCATACGACCAAAATAAGGAAATATGCATTAAACTGCTGTATTAAATTGCTGCTTTAAAGGAAAATGGATGCATGAGCATGATCAGCATTCTACTGGATCCTGCCATTAGGATGCAAATGAATCTGACTATTTATTACCAAAGCTTGATAAACTATTTTGTCGAAGAAATGCTTAAATTGAAATCATATGTATGAAATAAGCAGTGAAGATGAAAACCAAGTGAAACCTAAATATTAGTGGAAACGTGTCAGAAATGATGGATGCTACCATTGTATCGTGTCTATTTTGCAGGCTGCAGCAATGACTTGACCTCGGTTCTCTGTTCTGCCTTTCCAGATCTGGATGACCCGATAGTGACAGTCCACCAGAGCATCGGTGAAGCAAAAGAGCAGTTTTACTATGAGAGGACTGTGTTCCTCAGGTGCGTGGCCAACTCCAACCCGCCCGTCCGCTACAGCTGGAGACGTGGCCAGGAGGTGCTGCTGCAGGGCTCTGATAAGGGAGTTGAGATCTACGAGCCCTTCTTCACACAGGTAGGAGCCCTGGGGCTGCGCTCCGTCCCTCCTTGCACAGAGGCTTTGAGGCTGGACGTGCGGCAGTTCTGTCTGCACATCCCTGCTGGTGGGCGCAGCCTGGCACCTTCACCCTGAGTTGATTCACAGCTTGCTCATGGAAAAGATATTTTTTAATTGTTGATAAGGAAATGAGGAGGCAGGAGGCTGCAGGAAGACGCACAGGGAGTGAGATCTGCAGGAGTCCCTAAGTCATTTTGCTTGGGCTTGCAAGCCCAGTTCTCTGACTTGAGTGCTATTTTCTATTCATACATTCTGTTGGGAAGGTGCAGCCTCTAAAGCATTTCAGTAGGCTAAACTCTGTGGTAACACCCACTTTTTGGATTCTTAAATTATTTTATTACTATTATTCTACCTTTCTCTGCTTTGAATACAAGTTATTTTGTTCCAGACTTGCACTCTTGAAGGATGATGTGGCAAAAATGGCAAGCAGTGTTTTTTGTCCATCTTCCTACCATCGCTTAGGGCCACGAAAGCAGACAGGGCCAACAAAAGGGTCTGTCAAGTTAGATCAGCTTAATTTATTGTTAGCACACTTACACAGGCTCAAAATAAAAAGGTGGCACATCCCAGTGTCTGGGGAGAATTGTGTGCAGTGGTGCTTGCAAAAAAAAAAAAGCAATGCCAAAAAACAATGTTATTTTGTAAAGTCTCAAGCAACAACGAGTAAAGACAAATGAAAACTGCCCATTAATTTGGTCTTCAGAACAGAAAGCATGCTGCAGATTTCATAAATAATTTTCAGCTAATGATTTGAAAGCACCTTCATTTTTTCTTCCTATTATGCTTGACAGCTTTATATTGCTACCATGGCTTGGTATTCTACTGAGAAATGCGTAGCCTGGAACCTTGCAGAGATGAGAATTAGATTATGCAGTCAAGTTATTGGTCTCCTAAAAGTGATGAAATTATTTTTAATTTAATGCATGCAGGTTCAGTTTAGCAAATGTTTCTTGTTTCTTTGGACTCAAGTGTGTAAATGAGTGTATTTTTATGATTTAATTAAAAAGTGAGAGTGTCTTTTGAGGGGATCCTTTTTGCCTTATATCTCAGTATGGAAATGCCAGCGAATACCTTTCCTACCATCATGCAAGAAAGGATCAAATAAAATGTGTCACATTGAATTAGATTCGAAAAAGATCGTCAGGTTAGTGGAGGCATTCACTCTAGAACTTCGGTCTGGGATGAAGTAATGAATAAATCACATGGTTGTGTTGATAGTCCAAAGCTTATCCACAATGTTTTTATATTTATTGGAGGTCTAGTTGAATTAGTGTACCTCGTCTGTATGCCTACAAGATTTGATATATGTTTATAAAGGGAAAGGATGCAATTAAAGGTCTAAAGGTCGTAAATGTCCACCACACGTCTCTGCATAATTGGTTCTGCATATGATGAAGTAACAACCAGTAAGGGCTGGTTGGAAGAGAGGTGCTTTATGAGAGTGGTGAGGTGCTGGAACAGCTGCCCAGAGAGGCTGTGATGCCCCGTCCATCCCTGGAGGTGTTCAAGGCCAGGTTGGATGGGGCCCTGGGCAGCCTGGGCTGCTGTGAAATGTGGAGGTTGGTGGCCCTGCATTGGTGGGGGGTTGGAGCTTTGTGATCCTTGAGGTCCCTTCCAACCCGGGCTGTTCTGTGATTATGTGAGGTGGAGGAGATTTAACTGCAGAGTTCTGAAAGACATGAACTGGAGGTGGCATTTGTTTGTTGATTGCTCTGAAGCTGGGTTATCAATCTGAAAATCCAAGGAGAGGTAAATGAAAGCAAAGGGTAACAATTCAATTTTTGGAAACGTAGTACCCAAAAAGGGCATTTTATTTCTAATGGATTCCTTACTGTATGAAATCATAGGAGACCCTTTGAAAACAGGGCAAATAAGAGGGAATTCTTGAACTTTAAGCAGCGATTTTGTGATGAGTCAGGTAATGTCAACTACTTTTTTCAGCTGCCATGGGAAAAAAAGCCAACCCAAATGCAAAAAAAGCCAACGTGTGTATTTTCATCTGTGGCAGTGCTGAAATACGGAACTTTTCAAAATGGAAATCTTGATGCAGATTTGTTTCCAAAGAGTTTGCATCCTCCTCGTTGCACATTGTAATTTCACAGCCTCAGAACAAGATTGAATTTGCTGTATTTACAATAATCACGCAATTAGACGTAATTAGACTAATTATACAAACCAGTGGAGAAAATATATATATTTTTACCAATCTCTACAATCTAGGGACATGATCCAGAATACCATCGTGAGTTCAACCCACCAGTTCAACTTGGAGTCTGCAGCTAAGGACTGAGCTGCCGCTCTTTGGGTCCAATCCAGAACTTAATCACTTGGGTAATGTTGTTCCCACTGCCCTGGATCAGGCCCTTCTCTAGTCCAGATAAACCCCTTCTCAAAGCAGGACCTTTATCCTCAGGATCAGCCATTCCAGGCTTGGATCGTGCAAAGACTGAATCAATGTGAGCCTGATTTTCACCACATCGTTTTTGTGTGACTGATTGTACATACAAAGCACTTCAGTTCCCATGCTCCAAACACTGACTGAGCTTGATTTAATGACTCTTTCCCAGCCTCTTTTCTTTTCTTGCTATCTGTATCTTCTCCTCTACTGTTTGGTTGGGTTTTTTTTTGTGATTTCTTTACATTCGTTTCACACACTACAGCTACACAAATTACATTCTCCCCTAGATATACCCAGGCAGGTGATGCACATGATGTTACTAAAAACACTGAAGATGCTTCCCAAGGCATATGGAAATCAAAAGTTGTAGCAGCTTGAGCAAGACACAGGACAATGGGCATTTTTCAGAGTTTGCTTTTGGCTGATCTGTGAGCTGTGGGTCACTGTTGGCCTCCCGGGGTGCTCTGCCATTCCCAACCTTGATGCTTCTTGGAATAAACAGAGGCAAAGACTTGGAAGTGGGCAGCAGAAGGAGGAGATGGCAGTGGAAATCTTGTAGAAAACTGCAGTTTTCACTCGACTGTGTCAGAAGGAACTCCTTCATTCGCATCCCACTCAGGCCCCTGGATTGTCGCTTCCATCGTTTTAACTGGCTAAAAATAAAACCCATCAGGAGCTCATTTTCAAAGGAAAGCCAGCAAGATTTCTGTAGCTTTTTTCATCAAGCAGATTGTACCTTGCGATACGATATCCAGAATAATTCTGTGACTTCTAAGGCTGCCAACACAATTTCCCCCTCTCCTTTTTTTCTCACTTTCAATATATGTAAGGTGGGCTATGGTGTCAGGCTGTGCCAGTCATTGGTTTTTTTTCTGCTATTTAAAAGATAAGTTCTAAGCAATTCTGAAGTAACATAAAAAAACAAAAGCAAGGTCTAAAATAATCATTAAAATAGTAAGTCCTCCTGGCTCCCCCTCCACAGGTTTTTCCTAACACTCTTTCTTGCTCACGCAGGGGGAAACGAAGATCCTGAAGCTGAAGAACCTCCGACCTCAGGACTACGCCAACTACAGCTGCATCGCCTCAGTGAGGAATGTCTGCAGCATCCCTGATAAGATGGTGTCCTTCCGACTCTCCAACAAAACAGGTGGGCCTCCAGCAGCTCATTTGATGTCTGTTGGGCTGCACAGCGTTCTTCTCCCACTTAACATACAGAATGTTAGGATTGTTCAGCTTGGGAAAGACCAGTAGGATCACCAACCCATCTCACCATGGCCCTCAGTGCCACAAGGGTTGTTAGAGTTAGGGTAGTATGGTTAGGGTAGTATGGTTGGATGTGATGATCTCTGAGGTCTTTCCCAACCTGAGCAATTCTATGATTCTATGTGTGTGCAGCCAAACGGTGCTAGGAATTATTTAGGAGCACGTTGTACAGGCAATTGTTTTCCCTCTTCTCACCAAAGGTAGGATTTGAAGAAGAGTTGATCCTTGAGGTCCCTTCCAACCCAAGCCATTCTATTATTCTATTATTTTATTATTTCTATCAGTGTTTATCACTTTCTAGGTTTTATAACACAATTCACATTTTCCTCCCATGTCGGAGAGTTTCATTGGTATGAATAGACTTGATTTTAAAGAAAGTATTGCAGTGAGGTAGAAGGAAAGCACAACTCAGCCAGGGCTGGGCACAGAGGAGAAGATTCCCTTCCAGTCCTCCAAACACTCTCAAATACTTCGCTCAACACTTTGCTGGAAACTAGCTATTTTAAATCAACAAAGTATTTTAGGAAAAGAATCAGCCTTTTTGTATTCTTACATCAATTTAAATGATTGATTTATATATTGATGCACTTGAGATGTTCTCATGATGAATTAAATGTCAATTTCTTACTTAGAAAAGAAAAAATAAGCCTTTTTTTTCAGAGTTTCATTGCTTCAAAAGGAAATATGCAAAAAAAAAGTCAGGTCACAGTGCTCTGCAGCAGACATTTATCCATCTTTGGCCAAGCTCTGTCCATGTTGTGGTGTTTCTTGTGCCTTTGCTCCTTTCTTTGGACTTGTCCCTGTGCAGGTACCACTGGTGCATCTTGCCCTTAATTTTTACTGCTGTGCCTCCTGATCTCAGGGTGTGCAAGCATGCTGACGTGTGCTGGTTTTCAAGAGGGTGGAAATCATAGGTTGTGATTCCCTTACGGGTTCCATGTCCAGGATCAACAGCTGATGTGTCTTGCATGGCTTATGGTTAAAGAGCAAAGTCCTTGGCATAGGCTTATAGAAGTGTTTTCCAGAGAAGTGTTCTGCAGGAAACACTACATTTGAAGGCTTCATATTATGGGAGTTTTGCCTTAAAAGTGTATGCCTTGGAGCACTAAAAACAGGTAGCAAATGAACAAAATAGCTGAAGCATTAACATGTCAAGGCCAGGCTGGAATGGGGTGTGAGCGACCTGCTCTGGACGGAGGTGTCCTTGTCTGTAGCAGGCAGTTGGAACTAAATGGTCTTAAAGATCCCTTCCAACCCAAACCATTCTCCGATTCTATGCTGAGTGTGTCTAAGATGAGGTATGAATTTTATGCGAACCAGCACATTTCACATTATTTCTGCCCTCCTGGCTTTATTTCAAGGAGCTGCCTTCAGCTTTTTCAGAATTTCTGATTGGTAGGCAGGGACTTTGAAACTATGGGATGTCTCATTTCATTTCACAGCACACTGCCGAGCAAACAGCCAGCACTGGAGCTGCTGCTGGTAGTAGGGCAGTTACAGTCAGCCCCACAGGTATCCATCAAAATGTATTGGAAGCACTTGTTTTATTCTTTTACTGATTTTGCCAGGGAAAAAAAAAATGAATCAAAATGTGACATTTGGCTTTCTTTTACATTAAAACAAAACCCAGAAGTTTGTTTATGCTGTGGTAATGAGAAAATTGAAATAGTGTGATTATTCTGATCTAAGCATAGCTGATCATGATCTAATGCTGCAACGAGAATGAATTATTTCCATCTTACTAATGTTTTGTTTTTTTGGGGAGAAAGGTGCCTTCTCCAGGAGGTTGTGTTGGTACATTAACAGGAACAGCTCTTCTAGAATAGCTGCTGAGGTAAACAATATATCTGGAAATATATAAATATATACCTGGAAACGTATGAAGATTCACACTATCTCATGAAGAACCTGGTGATAGTTGTCATCAAGGGCAAGATTAAGTAGGTATAGTAATTACTACAGTAATTTAAGGACAGTGACTGATGTGTTGATGACTCTGGGACAAAACTTTTCTCATTTAATGTGACATCTGCTAAAGCTATTTGGTAGAACTTCACCTGGTGTAACTTCATGGAAATTACATAAATCATCAATGCAGGGGAATCCAGGATAAATCCACCTGGATGCAAATCAGAACCTGAACTTGATGTGTTTTAAAAGAGCAATCCCAGCCTGTCCACCTGCTTTTAATTTAAGGCTGAATGCCCATTACTGCTGTGTCAGTCTATGGAGACAATAGAGAGACGAACAGAAATGTCTATGAGGTTTGCAGACACGCATGGTGTTTCTGGTATGTGAAGTGCCTAGAAGTGAATTTAAGTTTTTTTCTGCTAATTATGTGTAAAACTGCCGGCAATTTGGTTGTTCTGCATTTCTCAGGTCTATAAGCAGAACTGGTGGGAGAGCTTTGGTTGAACTTTACTTGGCAGTTACTGCTGAGAGATGACCAAGGAGAACAGCCAAGCCCTACAGCAGCTGTGGGTTCCCCCCTTGATCCAGTTGTGGTTTGTCTGCCTGGCTTCAGGCTTTTATCACCTGAGACAGGACTGTGTGGCTTGCCAGGCTCCCTTTGATGGACTGTCCTGAGGGTGATGTTGGGAATACTTTTCCTTGCCACAGATGTGCACACCAGTTTGGGCAGCTCAGGGCCATGAGCTGTCTCAGCAGCCATATGGGCTCTATGAGGGTTTGTGGACCATCTGCATGGCATGCTTATGCTCAGCAGGATGCTAGCATGCTGCCAGGAGCATCTGTCACCCATGGCAAGCAGTGGTAGGAACTGGTGCTCAGCAGGTATGAAACCAAACCAGTGCAGCAATTGCTGTATCCCCTGGAACCAATAGTGCTCTGTGGCATCCTGCTGCACTGCCCACAGTGCTTCACAGGCCCTGAGGTCTCCACAATGACAGTTGGGTCACCTGTTAAACCTTCTGCTAGATCATCTCCTGTTACTCTAAGAGAGTACAGTGTCAGAGATGCATCACCAGTTTTTCCCTGTTTCTTGGAAGCACTCAGGTCTCCCACCTTCCCCTGTTACAGAATCACAGAATCACAAGGTTGGAAATGACCTGAAAGATCATGTAGTCCAACCACCCTCCCATTCCTATTTGAGCCACAGGGTCTTTCATACCTCTGCATCCTGGTGCATGCACAGGAATAAAGAGACTAATTTGAGGAGCACCAGGCCTGTCTCTAGGTGAGCAGATTGGGCTTCTGCTCAGTGTGGCCTGGCACCTTTCTGTTCTCTGTGCTCACTCCATCGTGCTCATTATTTGATCGTGTATCATGGCATCACCAGAACAATCAATTACAACGATAAAACCAATCGCAAGGAAACTTCCTGCCTAGTTTGTGAACAATTAGGGAAATAATTAAGCTGATGTCATGAGATGAACATGTATTTATCAGTATACTTTGGACAAGATGTAAGTTTAAAGTGTTGTACTGTCCTTACAGCCAGACTGGTGACGTGTGGCTGACTGGAGGAAAACTGTCTTTGTGCTTGAAGGGGCAGCAGGATGTCCTACAGGTGGCCATTTATTTGAATCATCCCTCAGATTAGGTGCACTCACACCACCTTCGTTCAACCACAGTGTCTTCATTACATTGGTTCTGCACAAGTATGTGAAGCCTTAGACCTACCATTATCTCTGTCTGTAGTTACTTCAGGAGCTGGACTGCATTGGCATTGCTTTCCAGACATGCGTATTTCTTTGTTCCAGTGCAGACTAATTTAAAATACAAAAATAAAGAAGATTCTGTAATGACAGAAACTGAGATCATCTCAGAAGCATGTGACTGTGCATATGCTGAAGCCAAATATGACAATTAGCATTACTATTGTACAGCAGCATGTACAGAGGCACATGTCAAGTGTAGACCCACTTTGTACCTGAAGACAGCCATTACTCTGCAAATGTAGTACCTAAATGAGAAATCTGAAGGGAAGCAGAAGCACTGTGAAATGTTTCACCTGCTGTCAGATTGCTCTTGAGTGGCAGGAGCAGAAATAGAAGTCAGGATATGAAGAAGAACAGCAAAGGGACTAATTTTGCAACTCTCATTTGTTTTTAGTAGACTAAGTCCCTTTAAAATCAGCACACAGAAGTTAATTTGGGGAAGTTAATGCAAGCGGGAGTTGTAATAAAACAAATGCAGCTGCTTTGCAAGAAAATCAAGGGGTAATTCTGACAAGGAGGAGGAACCCTAACAATTTTCTCAGTATACGTGCTTGAATCCGGGCTGTTGGAAGAGGAGCAGCTGCAAGTGGGTGTCACAGTGAGTCACGACCTCCATACTTTCTGTCTACGCTGCCAGATTTTGTTGTATCTCCATGTACACGCTGTTCCCAGGAAGAGAAGCTGGTTGCTCAGATTCTGGCTCCTACTCTACCCTTTGGGTTTTTCTTGAGGGTGCTACTGCCCCATCTCTTTTCTTGAGGCCCTGGAGAATCATTGCATGGCATTCACACGTTCTTCCCATTCAAGTTTTTCAACCTCTTAAAGCTCTTGATGTATTTGTGTTCCTCAGCCTGGTGGCATTTTCCCTCCAAGCAGTCCTCACAGCTGGAAGCAGCTGAAGCACACAAGACTGCACTAGCAGCAAATGTTTCTGGGGTGGGGGAAGCACACCATACGGGTTCTTTCTTCTCATAGGAATGGCTCCTATCTGCTCTTACTTACAAGTGTCTTGGAAGCATTCCTTTGTCTGCCTTTTCTTCCCCTTGCCTTTTGTTTGGATAAAACCTGGCCCTGATCTCCATACTGTCCTTACAGCCAGACTGGTGACATGTGGCTGACTGGAGGAAAACTGTCTTTGTGCTTGAAGGGGCAGCAGGATGTCCAACAGGTGGCCATTTATTTGAGTCATCCCTCAGACATCAAA